TGGACGCTTGGTGAAGATGTTCTCCACATAATTTCCTCTGATCAAGAACTGATCTGAAATCAAGGATTTGAGAGATTCAATTGCTGGTTTCCTGCACAATCCCACTCCTATTCCTCTACCCAGTCATCAGGCTCTACTTCCTTTCTGAGGACACAAGACAGCAGGTGACTTACCTAAGTAAAAAAACGCTCTTTGTATTCACAGAGCCTGTAGAGGTGGCTTGAGGGCAACTGACTCAAGTGAGAACTGATGAACTGTCCTGAATTCAGTGATATCATAAATTTGACAACTATAAGACTTCTGTGCAGAATTAAGATTTCAAAAGGTTTTGCCACTGTACATAAGTGTTCAAATACAGAAGCATATGGGGTAGTTTTAATCCACATAAACTCTAAAATGGAATGCCTGAAGAAAGGGGATCTTGGGCCCTCATCTTACACAACATAAGGCACTAATACTTCTGTACCATATGGAGAAAACTTCAGTTCACATAAATCAGTGCTAATCTGTGACATGTGAATATTCCTTACCCTACACTTTAAGGTTATCATATGGGGAGTCATACTTCCAGGCACCTGGAGACTGTTTAAGTGAAAGCCATATATAATATTTACTCCCTGACATGTGCTATTATACATGCTACATGATAGTCAAAAACAATGAGTCAAGGAAACCATTCATTCTAACATCTCTGCCTCTTCCTGCTTCATCCTGCAGATATATATATATATATATATATATATATATATATATATATATATATTTCAGATACAGCTTATTTTATATGGTCCTGAATAACAAAACCTAGAGCTCTGATGCAGCTGTTGGAGAAGTATGGCAAAGCTGCGGCATGATCCCAACCAGCACTGGCTTCTATCAGAAACACTTTCTCCAAAAATGTCTCACATGACATCTCATTGTCATAAATACTTCACTCTCTCTTGAAAATCTCTATTGCAGTTGCCAATAAGGATTTAAATGCTGCTGGAAGAAAGATTCATCAAAAGTGACACAACTTTGAATGACTGACATCAAGTGAGAGGGAAAGAAATCACAGCCATGTTTCTATGCATTACTCACCAAATGTTGCTCTTCATTAGATGGGTGTGCCCAGCGCTGGGCATGTTGGCAGATGCATACCAGCACTGTCTGGCATGCCTACGGGTGCTATTATACACTGATGAGCGATGAAACACAATTTCCTTGAAGGGACTCTTTATAGTTTGGTACTGTAGTTATAATCCCTAAATTTTCTGCTTTCTAGTTTGATTTTTAGTATTTCTAAATAGCAGGCATCTCTCTTTTTAACCAGAAATATGTGACAGATGCACTTGGAACATTTATTTAGACAGACAAACAAATAAGTAAACAAAAAAATCCAAACATGTCCAGACCCTCATCTGTAACATCTTACTGAATCAGACGCCCTGGGGTGGAACTTGCATGTGAATTTTGAAAAATTCACTGATTATGAAATACTTTCCTGGTTAAGAACAACCATTCTAGATTATTTTTATAGACAAATGACTATGTCACATACATGTGCCTACACAGACTGATGTAATTCTATTTTGTCCCTTATGGTATTTTTCTAAATATTCTCCTTTGCAATCCAATTCTTTACTCTGAATTTGTTTGTTTGTTTGTTTGCTCTGGTATTTGTTTTTGAGACAGGGTCTTGCCGTTACCCAGGTTGGTCTTGAACTCATGTGTTCAAGTGATCCTCTCATCTCAGCTTCCTGAATCACCAGGACTATACAGCACCACACCCAGCTCTTTCCTTTGAATTTCTTCTTTTAAATTGCCAAAGAGCTTTTCAGAGTCAGGAAATTGGCCTATAAAAATTTTATGCTAAGTCAGTGTATTGGCACTGTTCAGTGTTGAGACCAAGTGGCAACTGAGATTGGCAACTCCGTCCAGAACAATTCCATTTTAACATTCAGTCATTTAGTAAATATGTATTCAGTAAAGTGTGTGTGTGATGGTAAAGGCGAAGAAAAAAGGAGGAGGAATGAGGCATGGCCATCGTGCTCTTCAGTGAACACTTATGATAAAACTGGTAGCAATGATAGCCAGGTTAAGAACAGTTAAGTAATCACATAATTGCATATGATTCAATATTAAAGCATTACTTGCAATAAGTGCTCACAGGAGTCAGGAGAACTATTACTTACTCTAGACCCAGAAGTCAGGCCACCCTTCAGAAAGGGCCTGACAATTGAGAAATGGGTAGGGGATAAATGGGTGGGGCAGAGGAAGTGGGTGCTCTATGCTAGGAACACTGCAAACTGAGGCAGGAGTGAACGCACCACGTATAATGAAAACACAGCCTTCTCTGGAAGAAGAGGTCACTGGAGTGATTAACATCAAACATACAAAGACCAGAATCTGATTATCAGCTAAGGAACCTAATATTTATCCTAGAGTTATAAGATAATCATCAAGGTTTTAAAGCAGCAGAACATGGGGATAGTAGTATTTTAGGACACTATGGGTGGAGGGTAGCAAACAAATGCCTATGAGTTTGAGGGATAATAAGGAAACCTATGGGAGCTATCAGGATCTGTGCTATAGTGGTGGATTTACAAAGAATTAATGGAACCCGGTGGCACATTGATTTCAGTTTCTAGCCTGTTTGTTATGAAACACAGGCATACAGACAATGCAAGAAGAATAGAAATATATCAGAGTTGCAGAATGATGCCTTAGAAGAAATATCTTCCCTGAACACGTGGCTCTAGAAGAAGATGGTTATAGTAAATAATTTCTACACAGAGAATAGAAGGTAGAGTAAGAAGCTCAAGAGAGGCTGAATCTAGAGAAGCAGCACATCAAAGATCACAGGAGAAAAACAGACTAATTCAAACAAGAGTCCTTGGAAAGAGAAGAACCTACTGGCAACCCAGAAGCCAAAGAAAAAGAGAATGACAGAAGAAGAGCTCATCAATACCATCTCATGCAACACAGCAATCAAAGGCCACTGGCGTTGACCAAGTAATCCCAGCAACCCCCACATGTCTCCAAACCATAGTACTTTTTTTTTTAATCTTCATTATTGAATGTTGATACCAATCACTTAACACACATATAAAATTATTGTTGATTTTTAATTTTTTTAGTTGTAGATGGACATAATCTCTTTATTTATTTTTATGTGGTGTTTAGGATTGAACCCAGTGCCTCACACAAGTGAGGCAGGTGCTCTACCACTGAGCTATTGCCCTGGTCCCATATATAATTATTTTTAAATATCTATCATCAACTCATAAGATTTTTGTCTTATCTTTTTGACACAGAGATAATAAACTTCTCGGGGGAAGAGATCACAGTGTGCACTTTATATACTGCCTCCTCCCTACCATTGTGCCTCCACATTACCATGCCTCCAGCAATCATTTTGAAATATTTTTAACTGAATGTGACTATGACTGTCCTTTTGATTGGGATACATCGGTCAGGAATAGTTACAGTCAGGAAAGAGACACAGACATGAGACCACTGTTGGCCTTTCCTATTCAAATGTGGTCCACTGGACCAGCATCATCAGCATCAACTGCAAACTGGTTATAAATTCAGAATCTCAGCTGCCATTCCAGACCAAGTAAATCAGAATCTAACAAGATCCCCAGATGACTGGTGCCTATGTACACTCATATTTGGAATAAAAAAAAAAAAAAAAAAACCTGCTATAAAGACAGCATATAAGGGGTAGAACTAAGTTACCGAAGAAGTTATTTGGAGGACGAGAAGAGGGCCCATGACTTTGAGCATGTGGGTATACACCAAGGCCTAACTTCACTGCTCCTCAGACCCATGGCTCAGTGAGGGAGCCCAGGCCTTTGACATACGCAGCAGGACCAGGTCAGGAAGCAAATCCAGCTTTTGATCATGAGCCCAGATGCATAAATCCTTCCATAAATTACTGCTCAGTTTAATTATAGGAAGGGTTTTGCAGATTGTATCAGCTTGGTTGTTTTTCTATATTTTATAAATATTCTGACCTCTAAATATCCTATTTAGGATCTACGTATTTACCCAGGCTTAGGAATTCTGATTCTCATTAATTCTCCTATAATGTTAAGTTTCCCTCTAGATCTTAGATTGCAGTTGCTAAAATACTTTTTATGCTCTCAACCTAAAAATGCAACTCTCACCCCCAAATGGAAAGGGTCTAAAATTAAGATTCTTATACTGACAGCTCTATTGTTAAATGAACAGGTATCAGGAAAAAGCTCCCTAAAGAAAGAATTATTGGACAAAGGAATAGTCATATTCTAAAAGGTGAAGACCAAATGGGGTGCTGGCTTCCAAGGCAGTTTCCCTTTATTGGGGATGTGCTCAATGCTTCAGTATTTCTTCCTCTGATTACTGAATATCACCATTTGAAGATATCACTATGCTAGAAGAGTTCTATGTGGTCTTATTATTTCTAACAGCTCTACTGACACATAATTTATACACCATGAAGTTCACATTTCAGAAATGGATGAGATTCTCATTCCGTCCCCTACCTTCAAGCAATGCTTCATTAAACTCACCCAGGAACAGAACATAGCCATTTCTTAAATCTTCAGCAATGTAGGACATTGTTATAACCCTCTGATAATATATTCTAATATCTCAGTTTTTATCAGTGGAAACATGCCTTGACCAAATCCCTTTTTTAAAATTCAAACTCTCAGCTTCCATAAAAGTAATGACTTGTAATACAATATTTTAAAGATGTCTGGTTTAAAATACCATGGTAGGCCCTTGCAATCTAAATTATTTTGCAGGAACTCCATTAGGAAGTGAACTTATTTACTGTGTTCAAAGCAGAAATCTCAAATCTTACAAGCAAGTGTCCCCCATTTTTCCTGAACTACTTTCCACCAGATGACATGCTTTCTAAGGGCTGCTGGATCCTGCATGTATCTGTTATTCTTTACCTGTGGGATAGCATGAAGACAGAGGCAGGTTTCTCTTTCAAGAAAAAAAAAAAAAAAAAAAAAGCTACTCACATGCTTTCACAGAATCTCGTCAGGGTGCTGGGCTTCTCCTGATTGCGCCGCTGTCGAAACCAGCGCTGAATGCTTCGCACATCCCAGTCCAGTTGCTTGGAGAGGCCCTCCAGTCTCTTCTCATCAGGATGCTATAAAACAAGTTGCCAGAAAAATTATTTTCAATACACTTTCACTTTCACCTTAAAACAGATCTGACCTTGTGCATGTTTGGGTTTTTGATTGTTTCCCTGTTTATACCTGCTACTGAGATTTCTGTATTTACCACTGAGCATCTAGGCCTTCCATTAGCAGAATGAACAGAAATAACCACAAGGCTACTCATTATGAAATAAGATGGGAAAATATGAATCTTGTTCTGATGCTTGCACTTCTCCTTATCAGCAATGCACTTTGTTAGAGGCATCTCAGACTGGATGAACAGCCAATCGGCTGAGTCCGCTCCATCAGCCTTCAAGGAAAGGGAGTCCAGTGCAGAACTTGCCAAGAGGCACCATTTGAATATTTCACTTTCTTGGGGGCTGGGGGGAAAGTTGTGCATACCTATTGCATATCTGGATAATGTAGGACAAACAAAAAGCACGGGAAAAAAAATCCCCAAATGCCTACTGTCCCATTTCTACTATCAAACATGTTCTCCCTCCCCACTCCTTCCCAATTCTTCACACATTCCTCTTCTACTCATTTTCTTGGTCATTCCTTTTGACCACGAATCCCACATCAAGTCTTTTTCTAATACTATGCATTACCTGAAGAAGTAAAATAGGTGGAGAGGACAGAGCTGGCCCTGAAATGACAGATATATAGGTTCAATTCCTCAACTGCATTCACTTCTCTGAGCTTCTGTTTCCTCATCTATAGAAGTAAGGGTTGAGGACAGGGGCTGTAGCTCAGTGGTAGAACACTTGCCTATCATGCACACGTCCCTGGATTCAATCCCCGGCACTGTTAATAATAATTAATAATAATAATAATAATAATAATAATAATAATAATAATAATAATAATAGCAGCTTATCAACCTGAATGTGATTATGATAAGAACTAAATGTGAAAATGTTTGTAAAATTAGTTTTTTCTTCTTTCTCATCTCTCTTCAATGTTAGAGAACATCCTGCCAACAATCATGTGAGTGTGCCCTGCTATTCAACAAAAGAAGGCCAAGTGAGTTCTATTTCTCTATTCTATTTTTGCTTTGATATTCACGGTCAGAGAAAATAATCAAAAGGGGAGGAGGAGCCAGGTGTAGTGGAGGACGCCTGTAATCCCAGCAGCTTGGAAGGCTGAGACAGGAGAATCGCAAGTTCAAAACCAGCCTCAGCAATGGAGAGGTGCTAAACAACTCGTGAGACCTTGTCTCTAAATAAAATACAAAATACGGCTGGAGAGGTGGCTCAGTGGTTGAGTGTCCCTGAGTTTATTCCCCAGTACAAAAAAAAAAAAAAAAAGGCAGGGGGAGGCAGGATGGCCATCCCTCAAGTTTTATGTGTGTAATATACACATAACACCTTTTTTTTCTCATGGTTGGCATTTTTTAAAACTTTTACTTATTTTTTATTTATATATGACAGCAGAATGCATTACAACTCTTATTACATATATAGAGCACAATTTTTCATATCTCTGGTTGTATACATAGTATATTCACACCAATTTGTGTCTTCATACATGTACTTTGGATAGTAATGATCATCACATTCCACCTCTGCCCCATCTACAGTTCGTCTATTCCTCCCATGCTTCAGCTCCCTATCCCACTATGAATCAGCCTCCTTATGTTAAAGAAAACATTCGGCATTTGTTTTTTTGGGGATTGGCTAACTTCACTTAGCATTATCTTCTCTAACTCCATCCATTTACCTGCAAATATCATGATTTTATTCTCTTTTATTGCTGAGTAATATTCCATTGTGTATATATATGCCACATTTTTTTTAACCATTCATCTATTGAAGTGCATCTAGATTGGCTTCACAGTTTAGCTATTGTGAACTGTGCTGCTATAAACATTGATGTGGCTGTGTTCCTGTAGTATGGTGTTAAAATCATATGATCATCTCAATAGACATAGAAAAAGCATTTGACAAAATACAGCACTCCTTTATGTTCAAAACACATAATATCTTTCTAAAAGCATCTCAAGCAACTCAAGGGGTTTGTTTACCCCACAAAGTTAACCTATTGAAACCCTAATCTCCAACGTGATTGTATTAAGAAGTGGAGCCTTTGAACGATTAGTACACTTAAAAGACACCAGAGTGCTTACCCACATGCATGTGCTCTCTCTCTCTCTGTCCCTCCCTCCCCCTCCTCCCCTGGCCTCCCAACTCTTGCTATATGAGGAAGTGGGCTTTCATCAAGAACTGGACCATGCTGGCACCCAGAGCTTAGACCTCCACTCTCCAGAGCTGTGAGGAATAAATAAATGTTGCTTAAGCCATCTAGTCTGTGGTATTCTGTTGTGGCCACATGAGCTGATTAAAGTAGTCAAGACACCCAGAAAACACACCTAGTGGACTCAGGGTACAAAATATGCTGACCTGTGCCTATAAATGTTATTTGCCAACTTTCCACTGGCATACGCCTGAGCCCTTTCTCATAGTAATGACACCACCCACATTCTCATGTCTCCCCTAATAAAAAATATTGAAGGGAAAGGAAAAACAAAAACAAAAATGCCTACAACACACCTTGGCTATAACATTTCCCTAAATAAACTAATTTTTAATTTCAACTTATTTTCTAATTTATTAATAGAAACAATATTCCTATGGCTCACAAATTTTAAATCGTCCAAAGTTTTACCTTTGTTCCTGTTCTTCAAATCTCTCCTTTCCCTTCTTTAAAAGGCAACCATAGTTATTAAATCAGTTTCTTTCCAGTTATTTTACATAAGTAAAAGCAAAATTGAATGTGCCTGGTCACACAAATGGTCACACTGTGGACTTTGTTCTAGACTTCGTGTTTTCCACTTTACAAATATTTCCATATCAGTGTACAGAAATGCTCTTATTCTTTTGTAGAATGGTAGAGATGTACTATAATTTACTTACCCATTCTGCTGTGAACAGACATTTAAGTAGCATCCAAACTTCTGCTACAAACAATGCTAAGGTAAATAAGCTTGTCATGAGCCATTTTGTACAGGTTTATCTGTGGGATCTCTTCCTCAAAGTGAAAGTTGTTGATCAAATGCATCTGTGTTTTGGTATCTTATTTCCCTATTAAGAAAGTACTCTCACTGGAGATTTTATCAACTTATACTCTCACAAGCAGGAGTATCCATTTCCTAAGTCTCTTTAAGAGAACAAGATGTCAAGCTTCTTTATTTTTTCGGCCTGATATATTAAAAATAGTATCTTGGTATATCTTTGATTTTCCTCCCTTTATGAGATAAGCATCTTTACATACATTTTAAAAATCACCTGCATTTCACTTTTTCCCAAAGAGTATGGTCATGTCTTATTGCTTAATTTTTTTTTTAATCTGTTGGGATTTTCTTCATTGATTTGTAGGATTTCTTCATTTATTAGGGTGGTTGCACTCTTTTCTGTACTGTAAGTTGCATTTTTTTTTAACCATTATGTCATTTGTGTTTTAAAATTTGCTGATGTGCTGTTTGCTTGTTTTTTATTTGTAGATGGTTGCTAAATGCAATAGTTTCTAAATTCCAAATGTTATTAAAACTCTCCCACGTTTTCATCTAATACACTCAAGGTTTTGATGCATTGGCATTTTTACTGCATTTAGAAGATATGCTGCCATTCAGTGTGAGTTATAAATCTAACTTTATTTCTTTCCAAATGTCCACCCTAAATCCCAATATCATCACTCCTCTTTTCCCCACAGAGTAACCAATCTACTCCTTCACTGTCTATGTGCCAGTCATATGCAGTCAGTTTTCTCAGAAGTCTTTGTTTATTTTTCTGTGTGAGTTTTAGAATTAACTTGTCTATTTTCAAAATGAACAAGTGGCCAAACAAACAAACTTGTTTGTATTTTAAATAAGATCATACCAATTTCTTAAATTAACATAGGGTGAAATAACATTATCATTCAATTTGTTCTTTGTGTCCATCAGGAATGTTTGAAAACTTTCCTCATACAAGTCTTACACATACTTTGTTCTTTATTCCTGTGGATTTTTTTTTTTTTTTTGCTTGTTTCTATTGTAAATAAGTTGCTTTTTTATAACCTTTTAACTGTTTCTTGTTTGCATGTATATGAGAGCTACTGGATTTTGGTTACTGATTTTGTATTAAAATTTCATATTTTTTGTGATACTTTTCAATTGGATACAATCACATAATAGTCCATTACTGGAATATAAGATCCATATTCAAAGAAACATTTCAGTATCTTTTTTCTTCAAGACCTAGTTTATAGTGGAACTCAATGAATACATCTTCAAATAGCAACAGTTTTGCCTCCTTCTTCCTAATTTTCAGGAACATTTTTCTTTCTCTTACCTATGTGCTAGTTCAGTGTAAAATGTGGCACAACCCAGAACAATAGTTATAAGAGGCACTCCTATCTGTTCTGGACTTTAGTGGAAATACCTTTAGTTTTCTGTTAAGCAAGAGACCAGAATGGGGACTGAGATACAAATATATTTACATGTAAAGCACCTGTCCCTAGTCACATAATTTTATTTTAATCAAAAAGATGTTAGGACTCAGTAATCATGCAGCATCATGTATTTTGTTTTTTCTCCTCAGATGTTTGTTTGTTTACTGTGCTGGGGACCAAACCCAGGACAAGCACTATAACAATTTACCTTCAATCCAGCCCACCTTAGATGTACTAATACGGTGAATTACATAGGTTATTTTTAAAATATCCAATACAGGGAAGGCCTTGCAGTCCTAGAACAAACTCTATTTGGTGATGGCAAATAATTCTTTTAATGTGATACCATCATTTGGCTTTCCTTACTGAAAACTAGATTCTGTTTGCTAATCTTTTATTTTAAAATGTTCATCAATATTAGTGAGTAAGATTGGTGTCTAATTATTTTGGCGGGGATGGGGAGGGCTGCTGAGAATTTTGTCAGGCTTTGATATGAATGTTTTATTGCCACATCAAAAGAGACTTGGATGACTTTTCAAATTTTCTGTGCTATGATAGAATT